CATTAATAATGTGAGTTATATGGTCTATGGTATCAGGCAAACATAAGCAAACCATATTTAAAGTTAGACCATCAGAGCCACATGCCGTAGACTTAATGTGAGAGATTATATTGACGATGTCTTGCTGAGTAAGGAGTTTAAAAGCAAACAGAGGTGCATCCGGTGTATGGCGTCTATCGCTATAAGAGTTAGAGACACTATCAATCAAATTTGGATCAGCTGCAGCTGTCTGGAAAATTGAAAGAAAATAATTATTTAAAATGTTAGGCTCAAGGAGACTGGGAGGTATCGCAACATGTTTCTGCTTCTGCTACCACATTCATCCTCCTCAGGTGTTTCCAAGCTTGACTTGAGTTAAGATTCCGGAAACGTGACATATATGCTTTTTTTCTCTCTTCTAAGCGATGCAAGGGCATAATTTCTCAAATCTTTGTAGCTGGCCCAATTCTGATCAGATCTGTTATGCTGATAGACAGCGAATACCTCATCTCTGAGTTGAAAAAGCATTTTCAAGTTAGGAGTGAGCCAGGGCGCAGCAGGTTTTGTGACACGTACTGTGCGTAGCTGAGCGTAGAGATCGAATATATAAAGAAGACGGCCAGTAAAAATAGAGACTTTAATATCCACATCATTCACGAAATACATGTCATTAAGCTGCACTGATGCAATCTGCGTCTTAAAACTTTAAATATCAATGCTATTAAGATTTCTATATGTTACAAATTTAGGCTCTATTTTTTTATAACAAAAATTATTTCGCAGTTCTCTCATCAAATTCGTATTTTTAGTATTATTTTTAAAAATTACGAGAGTTAGTTGATTTCAGGACATAAAACTTCTTACATAATTTGCAAAAAGCGGCGCACGCTTAATGGAGGTAGATCTTTGCAACGATAAGAAGTATTATTACGTTGATACAGCGTTGTCACTTTGGTAGGCAATGGCACTGAATTGAGTCAAAAGTATGCAATTTTGGCAACAAACAATGCAGTGTAAACATACCGGATGCTTCAAATTCGACCCTCACCATTGGGATAACGGAAACGGCAAGCAACTCGACGTCGCTTAGATGGGACTTGAAAACAAATTCCACACTTACATTGCTACATTTTTCCTCTAGAAGATGGCATAATTAAAATTTCAATACGATGTTTCGTCTCTTGTCCTCCAGCTTTTCTCTTAAGGACGCCATATCGGATTTTGACTCAGATAGGGTTTTTAATTCCAAAAATCTTTAATATGCCATACATTTACATTGCGAAACCTTAGTTATTGCAAAAAAACGGAACTTCCTGGGCAGGCCTTGAAATTATTAGATAGATTTATCGAAAAATTATTATTTTTTCCTGAATTTATTGAAAATTGGGAATTCAAAATAAATTGCATGTTGTAATTGCCACTTTTTCCGACATGTTGGCGTAGTCAAATTTTCAACTCAAGGTGTCTTCTTTCTACTTCCATCACAAACTCTGTTTTTTCATATGGACACCGAGACGTAACACTCTGTATCATAGGGGATTTACTGCTGACGTCACGGAATGGAAACAACTTTGATCTTTAGTTCAATGTGGGACATTTATACCCATTGTCTACGCACTAACTACATGGTAACGTAGACAATTAAGATATACGCATAAGCGCCCATCGCTAGGTATTTCCCTTCAAGTCTTTATAGCTTTTTTTCTTGCGGTCGTTTATGAAAAGCCTCAACAATCTGTACTGTTTCATATTTTGGATATCAAATCCATGTAATCAGCCAATATCAACTATTAAAAATACAATTTTGTCTGAGTGTCCATTTCCACTGTATTTCATTAATTAATTGACCAGTGCAAAATCAACACACATGTTTTGATCTTGCACCAATTGTTTGATGCTCATCAAATTCTCGTTTAAAGACCAAATAGCGTGCGCTGTCATAATTTACAATTAGGAAAATGGCGTTAGATATACGTACCGATACCAATAACTCGTTATTTAGGTTGGCCATTCCCGCTGCGTTTATATTTATCCCTTTCTGTGAATTGTACAGAATCAATGTTAAAGCTCTCTTGATTGGAGACATGAATAGGTTCCAATCACATTCAATTATAGCAACTAGGATGGATATGCTCTACAAAAAGATTATTATCCGTAAAGAGTTTTTTGCCGCCTGAAGATAACTCAAATTTCAAGTTAATTGTACCTATGAAATTTTTGCACCTAAATACTTCAGAAAATACGTATTTTAAGCATTCATCAACAATTTTTTCCTTATTTTAGAAGCAAATTGTTATTTAAAAGCCAAGTTTTGGCATTTCTGTGCCATATTCGCCCACTTTCCAATATCTAGCTTACCTCATTCTTTATTCATATCCACATGACACAGACTTGTATATGTGGCAAAAATGTAGTACAAGACAATGAAGATTAACAACAAATACAGTAATGTCCGCTTATAACAAAACCGTTTATTGCGAACTTCCGTCTATAACGAACTAATTTATAAGGTACCAACTGAAATGATATTAAATGTGTGCTATTTTTCTCGCATATAAAGGTGCGTATACATATGCGAGCCGAGCGGTTCGCGGGCCGCTTGTGAGCAACTTGTTCGGCTAATTGGGACGGGGTTTATGGTTCCAAACGCTGCTTGTGAGCAGCTCGTGAGCCGCTCGCGACGAGCCGCGGCCTGTCGGTTTTTTCAACGAACACAAAGGAATTCGCAGTGCATATTGGGACGTGTTTAGACAAGGTTCGTTGTTTTTCTTTAGCTCGCGAGCGAACTTTATTTTTCTTCAATAAAGTTATGGATTCATGGTCGGAAGAAAAGATATTATGTCTGATAAACGTTTATAAAATCAAAACGTTATTATGGGATCCTAAAAATGAAAATCACTTCAAAAAAAATTTGTAAGAGGACGCTTGGCGGGAAATTGCGGATGAAATAGAAACCACTGCTGAACAGTGCAAAAAGAAAATAATAAGCCTCTTAGCTTCTTTCCGCCGGGAGAAAACTAAAACAAAGCAGGGGACTAGTACAGGAAAAGGTAAATAAATGAAATAATAAGGTAAATTAGTTGTGTTTTATTTAAATAATAATACAAAATATTTTTGCTAATACTAATTTAATTTCTAATTCAACTAAATAATATGTTTGCAATTAAGTTAGTGCACTTGCCGTATATAATTTTAATCTCGATTTTAATTTTCAGGAAGAGATGAAGTTTATTGCAGCAGATGGTTTGCCTATGAAGCGTTTAGGTTTTTATAAGACAGAGATTTGCCACGAAAAAGACTTGCTACGGTAAGTAATTATTGTTATAAATTCATTCATATTGGTCCTGCCATTCTAGAGCTCCATTATTTATAAAATAATTAGCGATTTCATCTCTAACTTTTGTACAATAGTTTGTGGGTCTTCGAGGAATATTTCGTATAGGTACCATAGACGTTATATCTCCTCCATTTCTCCATGATCCCTCAGTTAAATTTCCATTAACTTCATAGTCTAATGTGCCAAAAGGGGTATAAATATTTGGTGAGTGTTTTCTGAGATAATTATGCAGAAGAATGGCTGTCATTATAACCCACTCTGCTATTGCAGGCTCTAAGAGCATTGGTTTTCTTAACACCCTAAACACTGCACTTGATATACCGAATGCGTTTTCAACTATGCGACGACCCCTACTCAAACGATAATTGAAAATTCGTTGAGGAGTTCCTTTTGGAAAGTCCCCAGTATAGGGCTTCATGAGATTTTCGCTTAAAGCAAATGCGCTATCGCCGGCAAAAAAATACGGTATTTGCATAGAACATCCTTCTAGTTCTTCTGGTGTTGGAAGTCGTAGTCTGTTTTCTGTAAGCTGCTGATATAATTTGCTTGCCTTAAAAACCCCCCCATCAGAAATTCTTCCTTGGCAGCCTACGTCAGCAAACATAAAGTTATAATCACCATCAACCAGTGCGAAAAGCACAATACAAAAATTGGATTTATAATTGAAGAATTCGGTACCCGATTTCACTGGTGCTTGTAAAACAACTTGTTTTCCATTAGGGCACCAACACAATGAGGAAGGTTCCAACGAGTTTCAAATATCTTGCTAACTTGTTTCCAAGCTGTGGGAGTCTTAGGTAGCTGAAATGAAATAACAATTATTGATTTTGACCTGTTTTATTCATTATTAGCTTATCTTAATAATTTATTTATTTAATATCATTTTTTGCGCAACTTCTTTGGTGTATTTGGAATAAGATAAAACCACCCTTCTCAAATAATAAAAAAAGGAATCGCTAATACTATGTTAACACAATTTCATTTCAAAATTTCATTATTTATAAACTACATATAAAGTTACTGAAAATGTATTTAGTAGGAGCTGGATGATGTTAACGAAGCTGCCCTATCTTCCGAACAAATGGTACAAGAGGCGATACCAGTGACACCTACGCTACCATCTACCTCCAAATCTACAAAGCGATCAAAAACAAAACAAAATATTGTTTCCTCTCCAATAATGAGTGATGCATTTCAGATTTTGAAGAATGCTGCGAAAAAAATGGACAAAGGGCCAACTCAACCCAGTGAAATAGATTTATTTTTTAATTTTGTTGCTGCAAAGGTTCAAAAATACCCCCCTCCAATACAACAGACAATACAACATGCCGTTTTTGACCTTATTATTAAAGCTGATAGAGGATTTCTTAATCCGACTTCAATTCAGTCTTACAATGATTCTCAACCTACTTCCTACATACAGTCACAAGCTACCAATCATATCAATTTAAACCTACTTCTTCGATGTATTCCCAACCTACTTCACATAATCTATATTCTCAATCTTCTGAAACTTATTATTCACAACCTCTGCAAGTAGTAACCGTTCCTGCAACTTCTGAACCATCATTGTCCAACCCATCATCGCTACAATCACCTGTTTCGTCACTCACATCAGAAAATGATGAAGATTTTGTGTAAAGTTTTTGAGTTCTATTTTTTGTTTGTTAACTTAGTGGTGGAAATTACTTTAAAGTGAAGAAAAATATATTTTTGAATTACACACAGGCCTTTAATTTATATATTAATGTTGTTATCTTGATATATCCCTGCAATTCCTTAATTAGTGCAGCACAAACTTGGGGTACTACACGCCCAATCGACTGCTTGGAAATTCTGAATAGATACTGAAGGCTAGTATATGAATCTCCCGTGGCAAGAAACCGAAGTGTTACGGCTAACCTAGAATATTAATTTAAAAAAATTGTTAAAAAACAAAGCTACCTGTCTACGGTACACCGACTTACCTATCTTGGGCAGAGATTGGAGTACGAAAATAAGTCTCCTGTTTTGAAATATGGGGTCCAATCCTTTGCAGCAGATTCTCAAAGTCAGTAGGTGTGATTCGAGTGAAATTTTTATACTGTCCGCTTCTTTCTTGCGACTTTAGGTCCATTAAAATTCCCGTACCACTACGTTTCTTGAATAAATTAGTACGCCACCAACGTTGTTGTCTTCTCTTTTTTTTTATTTACATCAGCTATTACTAAAACTGCAGCACTCATCACTAAAATAGTATAATTTTCGTTTCGCGAAGCCATACTGTATTTGTCGACTGCGATGTTTGTTTGCGTTTGGTGCGCTGAATCTGTGGATCGCTGGAGGTTCGCGGAAAAAATCATTTCAACGAACCACCATCGAGCGGCTCACAAGCGGCTCGCGAACCGCTCGGCTCGCATATGTATACGCACCTTAACGAACCCGTCTATAACGAACCTCCTGATAAAACGAACCTAAATGTTTGATATATTCGTAAAATTTTTCGGTTATAACGAGACCAGAATCAGGTAACCGAAATTTTCCGACTGCGTGGTGGGGTATATATCGTCGCTCTCCGCACGTACCGGCGTAACTAACATTTTACAAATTTTACAGGAGTGCTAGAAAACGAAAATCAGCAATAAATGAGGTTGAATACATACTGATTTTTTAGTCTGAACTTTGCTGTTTTTTTTTGTTAGACTAAAATGATGTAGAACCAGAGGCGTAAATCTATTTAAGCCGGTACGTGAAAATTGTTTTCGGAATTTTATAATTGAGGCAATTTTCTGAAAATTTTAATTCTTAGCAGCGAACTGATATACAGCTACGACACTTCGTGAAGAGACTACAAAAAAATTTGTGAAATTACGGCGTAACTCGATTTTAGATTATTTGTCATTTACGCCTGTACGTGCGGTGACCGACGATATGAGCAATCGTCAGCGTCTGCCGCTAGTCCGCCACCGCCATTTAGTCTGATACCTTCTTTATTCGTTGTATTCAGTGTCCTGCACTCTTGAAATCATGGGTGACGCAATTTCTAAGAAAACACGTAAAGCTCTTACTTTAAATAGGTAGTAAATACGATATTGAAAGATTGCAAGGAGGTGTGAAGCAAAGTGAAGTTTGTTCTGAAATGGGATTAAGTAAATCAAAGGTGAGTACTGCACAATAGCGTGTAATAAACATACATAAATAAGCACTCTGAGATATGAATTTGGTTCACAATTTTCCATGACTGTCGAACACCTGGATGACGATGAAATTGTAGCTGCTATATATTCGGCAGTTGATACTGACGATGGAGAAGAAAAGGAAAATAAAGATGCAGAATCTGTCAGAAGCACTTCGACATATTGACAGCGTTCGTCATTTCCTTCAGTCACGAAATATACCGCAGCGTGAGCTAGATCTACTAGCTGAAGTGGAATTACATATGTATTAATGATATTCTTTTCTCAAAAATAAACCAAACTAAAATAAACTATTTTTTTAAGAAAGATTTTCAAAAACTTTATAAGTGTGGATTATAGATATTAGTATATACTATTACAAACATTTTATAAACCCCTGGTTGAATAATAAACTAATGAAAAATATTTTCTGGTATTAGCATTATTTATCGTTTATTACGAACTTCGCTTATAGCTAACCAGTTTCACTGGTCCCTTGAGGTTCGTTATAAGCGGACATTACTGTAATAATAAAAATGTAATTAATGAATTATTCTCGCCAAACGGCGAGGGAAGTAAAATAAAAAGTTATTTTATCCAAAATATGTGAATTTTGGAAAACATGTTCAAACTGCGAACCTTGAGCTTTTAAGGACCAATAACATATTCAAATTCAAAAATTTTATAAACGCGAAAATCTTTAAATTTGAGATATGTTCATGGCCAAAAAACTCCATCAAGAGACCTTAAGATAAGGAAAGACTATGCAATCAGCCTTAAATTACTGAAATAAGCAAAACAAAATGACGTGCCTGTTCTTTAAGCACAGTTGCAGGTATCGAGAAAACGGATAACTGTAACATGAAAGATTCTGTCAAAATAAATATGACAGCCGTTTTGATGAGGTCACTATGATCCTGTAACAAACAAGAAATGCGTCAGTTCTAGGACTATCATCGCCGAGTCAATATCACTATCTTTCAATCAATACGCTTACCAAAGTCAAGATGAACCCATTCACAACTAAAGCAAGGTAACTCATGATTAGTTGAGGTATAAGTACAACAGATCCATATTTTTCGAGGTTTAGGCCGAACCTACAATCGTATCGGAAAATATAAAAATAGCGTCAAGTAGACCGACTTCATGTAATTCTCTCCGCTACACTTAATATTCTAAAGAGGTTTGAGAATTTGTTTATATAATGAAATCTCTGAAGCTAATGAGCCGATTATGGAAATTCTTTCATCAGTAGAAAGCTATATTATTAATCCTGAACAACAGGCTGTATTGATTGTGACTAATAATATTTCTTAATGTGGAGTAACTATATTGGCTAAGGGCAGAGAATCGCAAACGTTCAGTCGCTGACACATAACAATCGGCCACTCACAACGTGCATTTGAGACTATTGATAGGAAACGACTGATCCAGAAATTGCAGACCTATGGGATTACAGACAGTGCACTAAAATGGTTTATGAATTACTTGAAAGACCGTTGTCATGTGACGAAGATTAATAACGTGGCGTCAAATTCAATTGATAGTGAAATTGGGGTACCTCAGGGTAGTGTGTTGGGCCCGCTTTTGTTCCTACTTTATATAAATGACTTGAACAGGGTTTTAGTAAATACATTTCTGAGCTTGTTTGCAGACGATACATTGCTTTATGTGTACGGTAAGGATTTTAGACAAGTTGTAGATAGTATGAACTCAATACTGGAAATTCTGTATAACTGGTTATGTGTGAATAGGCTTAAGTTGAATCTAGAAAAAACAAAATACATGGTTTTTGGGACAAAGCAGAACTGTAAAACATTTTTAGAAAAGAAATTTTGTATTGAGATAGATAATATTCAAATTGAAAGTGCATCTAGTATGAAGTATTTGGGCGTAGTTTTAGATCCTCAGCTAAATTTTTCGTTGCATGTTGATTATGTTAGTAAAAAAATTGGGAAAAAAATAGGATTTTTTAGGCGAATATCTAAAAGTCTTAGTCACTGGAGTCGTCTTCTTGTATATAATACCATCATATATCCACATTTTAATTATTGTTTTTCATTGTTGCTATCATGCAAAAAAACTGATATTCAAAGGCTCCAGTTACTACAAAATAAGGCTATGCGCACTATATTATTTTGTACACGTTATACGCCTATTAATTTAATGTTAAAAACCCTCGGATGGCTTTCAACACAGCAAAAGGTTGAAATGTCAAATGTCTTATTTATTTTTAAAACAAAAAATCATTTATTGCCTGAATACTTGCAGGAATATCTAATACCGAGGTCCGAGAGGCATGCATATAATATCAGGTCACGTAACACTTTTGACATAGAATTCGCTAGAACATCCCATATGCAAAAATGTCTTTTTAGTGATGGTTTGAGACTTTTTAATGCATTACCTACAGAAATTAGAGAAGCGACGTCTGTAAATATATTTATTCGTAAGGCTAAGCAATTGTATCTAGATAAAATGGCATAATATATGTACTTTCTCTGTTAAGATAACTGTATGTCATTATCTCGCATTTGCTATTGTTGCATTTACTGTGGTTGCAGTTACTATGATTTTAAGGGAATCTAGAATTACTGTTTTTTGTTTATTACTGGAGTAAGACACTATTATAAACTATAGGAAGTAGCTTTAGGGCTAAGAATAATAAACATTTCATTTTCACCTATAAAAAATATAGCGTCGAAACGACAAACGCACTCGTTGTTCTCGATTGCTTTCTTATTTCAATTGTCTTACTGCTCAGTTTTTTTCACATGTACGTAATAGTGTCACCATGAAACGATTCCGCGAATTGAAGGAACGAACTGATTTCACAGAATACTAGTCAAGTCAAACAGTATAAGTCGGTTGTCACAGTGCGTAATATTGAAGGTGCAGTGCACTAACATATATAGAAGGATTTTTAAATTCCTTGAGCCCTGCCGCGCTACCAGCTCACGATGTTTATGTTAAACGTCGGTATTCCTATCATGCTGTTAGGAAACTTGAGCCCTCTCAACTTGTGTAATGGTACAAGGCTCCTGATAAAAGAGTTGCGGGGCAATATAATCGTGGCGTCCATCCTCAAGGGGCCACCAGTGTCTTGTTTATATTATATATTTGTGAATGTCGTTCAAAAGGCTGTAGGTTCCAGCCAAAGTTACATTTGCTCTCACGATAAATAAGTCCCTGGGTCAAACATTCTGTCTGGTGGGCGTTGACTTAAGAAAGGAGGAGGAGTTATCTGTTTGCTTCTCTCGAGCTGGAGCTCGGGAAACCAATACATCTGCTGCCAGATAGGTATACATGGAGCATACGGAGAAGTCCTAAACAGTTAACATACTCGCCCAACATATACTGTCTGCCACCAAGAAATAAAATAAACATAGAATAAGTCCTGAACACACCGTACTAAGACCAGACAAGATATTGAGCTGCATTCATAAAAGAGAAGCATATCCTCGGAAGCATAAGGTAAAGGTCTTGCTTCGGAGAAAAAGGTGGAAGTATAAGCATATCCTTGTTTTCATATTCATAATGATTACCTTATACTCGCGAGGACATTCTCCAAGAAGGTTGACTGGTATTTGTATCTTGAGCGACATGTACTGACTTGTTCCAGCTTGTAGTTGACGTGGGAGTTCGTTCACTCAGCATCACTGACAGTTGTACTCCAGAGCTTACACAGACCGTTCCGTATTTTTACTGGATACAGTTCTTTATCAAATTAATAAGCATGTCATCCTCAAGTGATGAGGAAGCTATAGAAAATAATGGCAACGACCTGCAGTTCATCGCAGATGAAATTGCCATTGCTCCCATTATTTTGCAAAAGTCACAAGTTCCAAAAATAAAAATGAGAAAGGACGATGCCTTGAAGAAGATGTTGAAAAAAACACGAAACAACATTCAGTAAACCATTAAATACTAAAGGCTCATTAAAAACAATCAACAACATGAAAGCAAGATTGAAGAAAAAAACAGATCGAAAAAAACTGGTAATAACGCAATTAAATTGTTAGATTGGGAAAGAATGTTGCTGAAAGCTATGGAAGGGGACTGTAACCGTACAATTGGGAAAATTAGAGGTGCCCTTCAGCTTGGTAGTGTTCAAGAAGAAGGAAGTGAACTATATACCGAGCGCAGTGAGCAAACAGTAAGTATTACAGCGCCAGCAATTCAGAAGACATTGCCACCAAAAAGAAAATTAGCAACAGAGAAATACGAAACTGAGGAAACCAAAGGGTTAACTACAAAAGAA